GTCTGCTGTACCATGTGGGTCACCTCTCTGGCTGGGGATCAAACTCATGCTGCAGTGGCTACCAATAGCTCCATACTGCTGAGGAAACTTAACCCCTTGAACCACCAGGGAGGCCCCCTGCCTGTTAATTTTATTCTGTTTTGGTTTTTATTGTTATAATTGCTTTCTTTTCCCTAATCCCTTATTTGTTTTCTCCTATAAAGTCAAATCATCCAGTATTTTCTTTTTCCTTTGGATTACTTCACTGAGCATAATCATTTCAAGATCCATCCATGTTACTGCAAATGGAATGAGTTTATCTTTTTTGATTGCTGAGTAGTATGCCATTGTGGGTATATATCACATATTCTTGATCCACTCATCTATTTTTGGACATTTAGTTGTTTCCAAATGTTATCTATTAAAAATTGTGCTGGTTGGCCCTCCCTGGTGGCGCAGCGGGTTAAAGCACAGCACTAAGAAGCTTAAGCCACTTCCGCATGAGTTCGATCCCCGCCTGCCCCGGAGGTGACCACATGGCGTGGCAGACCTCTCCTGATCCGCCCACTGCTCCCCTCAGCAGTGTACTTCGTCGATCTGCCTGTTCTGCTCCCCACTCTGTCTCTGGGTAAAGCCTCTCACCACCCCTGAGCCTCTGGCCTGTACCCCAGTTCTGTATGTACAAATAAATAAATTTGTTTTTAAAAAAAAGTTGTGCTGCAGTAAACATAGAGGCACAGATGTACACCCTTTTAGTTTTGACAAATATTGCCAAATTTTGTAGTGATTTTACTGTTTTATACTTTGATCAAAATGAATGTGGAAGGGGCCCTCCCTGGTGGTGTAAGTGTTAAAAGTATAGCACTGTGAAGCTATCCGCAGACATTTCAGCAGGAGTTCGATTCCTGGCCTATGAGGTGACCCACATGGCATGGCAGACCTCTCCTGTCCTGCACGCTGCTCCCGTCAGTAGTGTATTGCAGTCAGTCTGTCTGTTCTGTTCCCCACTCTGTCTCTGTGAATCCTCTTAACCCCAACCTTGTACTTCTGGCCTGTGCCCCAGTTCTTGTATGCATAAATAAATAAAATCATTTAAAAAATGGGAGCAGCTTACACATGGAGCTTCCCTACGACCCAGCAATCCCACTCCTAGGTATCTACCCAAAAAACACAAAAACACTGATTGAAAAAGATACCTGCACCCCCATG